CAAATTGCTTCATGTATGTCTATGAGTTTCACATCCAGTTTCCGTCTCGCGAGTACCATCCCACTGGTAAGCGACGTACATCGGCCAATAGTGCATAAAATCCATCTTAAAAATTATCTTAAACTTTTTTGAAAGAAGCGTGACCACTCGGGGCCCCCTCAATTTACCTCCGTGACTTGCTTATAAGCCACTTTAGACGCTTATTTACATAGTCATTTTCGGTGCAATCAATAAATCCTTTTCCTCTTACCCTTTCTTCTCGGATGCTAATATTTTCATTTTTCGGCCCCTAGATACTTAAAAGTACCAGTTCATGCGGAATAAAATCCATTTTCGTTTGTAATTTCTTTCAGCACTTCATTCTCTTTTTCCCTCCTTCCACTCTTGTTCCTCCTCATTACTCGTGTCGCTTTGTTTCATTGTAAACCAACATTTGCTTTGCATTTATAAGATGCCTTTTTGAACAAAACCAGATAAATGCAAGGGGGCCAGGATTTTTTATATTTCGGTAGTTTAGGATAATGAATTTTATATTATAATTTTGAACTTTTAAAACAAAATGGAATAATTTTGTGGCATCTTGCATTTTTTAATTTTTGTATTTTAGTCCGTATCAAGCATTTCTAAAGAAAATGTTTAGATTTTTAACTTAAAGTTATATTTTAAAATAATTTCTAAAGTTTTTGTTGGCTTAATTTTTTTGCAGTGCAAACAAAAATAAATCAGTCTTTGTTTAGGGTCTATAGTGAAATTTGAATAATTGTTAGTATATTTATTAGTACTAAATATGCCAAGCTACGAAAGGCCTGGCATACTTGCACCTGTTGTTTAGGAACAGTTCAGTAAAAACAATAAGATGGGACACTCAGAGCGATTGCTCGAGCTCAAACTCGTTCTATTTGGAAGAAGTCAGATGTTGGTTATAATATGGAAACAATCGGAGTTTTCAAGGGGCTAGCAGAGTTACTTCCTAATTTCGCCAATTTCTTTTTCTTTAATAAATGAAAATTTAACATTCTCTTTCTAATAAGGCAATTATCACTTCTCCACTTTCCGTTTTCCACCTCCCCTCGCCCTCCTCGATTTCTCATCCTTTCTCATCTACACTGACATTTGCTATGATTAGCAGGCCTACTATAAGCTTAGGTGAGGCTTTGCCGCTCATTTTCCCATCAGGTGAAGCCGAGCTCAAATGTAGCCAACCACTCTTACAATTTACGGGCTTATTGAGACCACCACTTATTATTATAATTATAAGCTGAGAAATAAAACCTTTATGCAAGAATGCCCACTTTTTCCACTTACTTTCTCACAAGTCGCAATCTCGGGAAAGTCGTTACCCCATCGCAGAAGGCCAACTGCCGTCTTGGGTACGGGCTCTGCACCTTCCCTGGGTACTAGCGTACTATTAATCGTAAGCGGAAAAAGGGGTGCGGGGGCACGGGGCAGTTAACTACTTCGTTGATTGATCATCGGAACTTTGAAGCTGTTACACCTTTGGCTTCATCCAGCTTCAAATTAATTACACCGTCGGCTCAGTACTAGGAATCTGCGAGTAATCTTCGAACAATTAACATAATTATCCTTAGGCGTGCGCTTTACATACGCCGCAATTCAATCGTATTTATCAGTTCTGCTTGATTTACTTGGATCAGTTGGCGTCAAGTACTGGGTTTCTTCTCGCCAACGACCTTTATTTTTCAGTCATCTAATTCGTTTCGCGAAAGCAGCTTTCTTTTGCAAATGAATATAGATCGGAAAGGGAATCGGGCGTCTCATTTTCACTCTCTCCGGGTCATTCTGTTCGTGACTTGCTATCCACTACACTACATCACCTGTTCCATACTATTGCTGGAACTGCCGCAAAAGATTAATTCTTGGCATATGGAAGCGTTCTGATAAGGTCATTGACGAGGGATACCTAAACTTTTTATTTGTCGCAGTGCATGTATATTTATTTTATAAGCATTTTTCTGGCATATATATTTTTACTTTTGTGAATATTTTTTCTGATATTCGTACTATATGTGCTTAGTTCTAAAACTGCCATCCAGAAACTTCCCGTCAGTCCCTCAGCGATCTACTTTGCAACTATTATTCGTTATTAAAAGTTTCTTCCAGAGAATTAATTCACTGAAAAGCTATTTTATTTTTTATCATTTTCGATTGACAGTCTGTTGCACACAGAGATGCGAGACAAGCAGGTGTCTCTTTTTAAGAAGCATGCTTGCCGATAGCATTTTGCAGGAAAATCAGCAGTAGTTCATTAATCCCAATGACACATTTTCATTTTTTGTCTTTCCTTTCGTATTATGTTTCCTTTTGTGACCACGTAAGCAAACAGACCGTCTGTCGAACAATCGGAGTGTCGGATCTTATTACGGCCACACGAGTAAACAAAATTCATTTGACAGAGAAAGATGCTCGCTTTTTCGACTAACGGTGAGCTTCAAGCATTAGTGAGTGGTACCACGAGAAGTGAACGACCACTCGGACTATTTGTGAACAGATAGCACACATACATCGAACAGGCCGTGAGTACTAACTGGAAATATGCAGCTCGAAATCGAAAAGCCTGGCATAGCTGTGCCTGGTGTTTGAGAGCAACCCAGAAACATCACTAACTTTGAATACTCACATCAGCTGTTCGAACGTTTTGGTATTCCTGGTATTTGAAGTTACTTATTTTAAACAAAATGATGCGAGGATTGGAAAGAATATGCGCAATTAGTAAATTATACGATGAGTACGGAGGACTTGGTTACTTGGATTATTGTGGAAAGACGAAGAAATGGTGGACGCTGATAATTATTTTCACTGTTTTTGCAAAAAAATGCCTTTTCTTCCAAAACTCGCGTGGATTTAATTCAGAAAAAGTGGATTGGAAATGATGGTATTGTTTGCTTACCACAACAATAATAATACTGATGATGACTCTGCTTTATAACCGTATTCTTCCTGAAAGTTCTCAAATTCATCAAGAATAATTACAAATTTTGATGGATTTTGTCGAAGAATTGAATTACACAAACTGCGAAAAGCAGGTTGGCATTTTTAAACTTTTTGACCTAAATTTCAATGAGCCCATCGCGACAGGTTAGACTACATAGTAAAAATTTGGCTAGAGACTATAAGCGAAAAACAGAGAAAGCAATAAAAGTTGAGAGCTGAAGTACCTGTAAGAAATATAAGATGAAGCAGTGAAAGGATCCGCTTGAACGACCTTTCGGAATTATGTGGGTGGGAGAGACACAAAATAGAGAAGAATGGAGAAATTACCAGATGCGTTAGTAGTTTGAAGAAATGCGACGATGAAACGATAGCTGATCGAATTATTAAAGTACACTGATTTCTCTCAGATCAATGTATTTCAGGCTCAGATGTACCAAAAATTGTCGCCGATGCCACATTTTTTGGCAGCACTGTTTGCAACAGTGGCTTGCATTATCTTTGCGCTCACTACGTTCGGCAATCTTCTGGTGCTGTGTTTCAAAGCCCGAGTTGGCCGTACAAATACTACGCTATTAGTGTGGAATTTAGGCCTTACTGATTTCCTTGTTGGTATTATCGTTCTGCCACTTGGTGCAGTTCACGTTATTTTGCGTGAATGGCATTTCAGTCGCTCGCTTTGTCGTTTATGGGTAGCAGCCGATGTTACTTTTTGTACCTGTTCGGTGGTTAGTTCTTGCCTTAGCATTTAAACTATTATTTATTAGTAAATAACAGTACTATTTCATCTTTTTCACTCCATTTATAAATACCAGGAACTCTAAGATAACCAGGACAGTCAATGTGAGTATCCTGTGTTAGTGTCTGTACCTAATCGCCATCGAAACGAGTGAAAAAACGCGCTTCGTTGGTTCGAAACAAATAAACTAATGAATAAACTAATGGTAGCCTACCAGTAAAATCGAATTTTCAGCTTCAGCGTGGGAGCAGCACTGCTTCCCAGTAAATCAAGATCCTAGCAAATTTGAGCAGAATCCTATACTCAGAAGAACAAAGAAAGATAATTTTCAAGTTTCATTGGCCATAACTGATAATTTCTCGCGCTAAACATAACCTATGTGCTAAGTTTTCCAGGTGACAATCTGTGTGATATCAGTCGATAGGTATTTAGCAGTAACTCGTCCACTACAATATAAAACGGTAGTTACGAAAACGAAGGTGATTATTACAATTGTTTCAATTTGGTGCTTTTCACTTTCTGTGCTGTTGGCTACCGTAAAATGGGATCAACCACCAACTTGTTTGAATTCAGTGAGTTTTTGCATATTCATAATATTTATAGTCAGTGTTTACTGAGTTAACCGGCTGGCGAAAATTTCAGAACTGTAACGGATAATCTTCAGGAGCAAATTTGTAGGCCCCAAACTGGAATTTTCATCCCGTGAACACGAAAGTGGAAATATTGCCTTTACAATTTACAGTGTTTTTATTGCAGAACGTATGTTTTGCGGGCAATGAAATCCGTTATTTGGCGCACAGTGTTATATTTGCATTTTTCATCCCAGCTTCAGTAACGTTGACACTGTACTGGAGGATCTATCGATTAGCGCGTAATCGACAAAAAGCCCTGGATAGCGGATTTTTAATGATTTTAGGACAAAATATGAATTTCCTCACGAATACGCTCAGTGAGCATGTAAGTTATACGTTAGAAACATTCTCTATTAAAAGATATTAGCTGCTCTATTTATACGCATCACATCCATGGAACTCGCTCGAGTGGTCTTTTATTTCCTCTCGGATATAATCACTAATTTGGGACATTCACAGACTGTCGAAAAGCCTAACAGTATGCCCTGGCGATCGTACTTTATTCTTTCGTGTGGTTGCAACATACAGAAAGTATGACTGTTTGCCTGTG